CAAAACTTAGAGGAAGATGGCGGAGGTGTTGCCCATCTGTAATCCACCATTTGGGAAGAAGAAGCAAGGGGGTTATGGGTTCAAGTCCAGCCTGAATCACAGAGTGAGACCCTGTCTCAAAATCTAAAGACAAGCCAGCCATATGTGATAGCCAAGCACCTGTTGTAATCCTACCTAGTACTTGGGAAGTGGAGGCAGAAGGATCAGGAGTTCAAGGCCAGTCTTGGGTATATAGCAAGTTTGAGACCAGCCTAGGCTTTTACTTAGAAGAGATAGAAACAGGATCTGTGCAAGGAAAGCTCTATCCCCCAGGAGAGTGGAGCCCACATGGGCAAGGAACCTGGCTCTCATCCTCATCTGAGCATCATGGCCTTCCAGGACAGACATGATGTACCCTCTGAAGATGAGGAAGCTGAGCCCCAGAGAGAGTGAGGCAGATGGCAGAGCTTGGCAATTCTTTTCTCAGGCCGTATGACCAGACCCTGAGGCCCAAAGGAACAAACTTGGGGACAGAGAGAGGGCAGCCAGGCCTGTGGCCATGCCTGGTTGAGGGTGGGGCAACCTCCCCCTCCACTTCTCCAGGATCTTTGTGGAAGTTCACCCTTCCTTCTGGTGCAGGCCAGAGGTCTCTGAAGTTCTGGTTCCAGCATGCATTAGGGAAATAAAGGATAATGGGTACTAATTACTACTCATTAATGCAATTAATTAAACTGATATATGCAATGCATGGTATCAGTTATCAGAACAAATCAGTTACTACAGGCAATTAAAGGGGTTGGTTATTTAAATAATGAACGCTGCTGATGAATGGGCCTGACATAGCTCAGTTGTCACTATTGCTTGTTAATTGATTTCACCGCTAATATTAAGAAGGAAGTGTCTTTTAAGTATATAATGTAAGAAATAATGAATTAATTCATGGAGCTGAGTTTTAAAGACACTTTGATTCCTGGATTTGATCATTACAATGAGAGGACGTGTATTCTAAAAATCTCCCAGCATGCTGACAGCTGCAGGCCGAGGAGGAATCGTCCTGGCCCCAGGCTGTTAGCAGGCAGGATGGCCCAGGCGGAGGGAATGTCCTGTGCAAAGGACCAGAGGCCGCAGACCCTGGAGTTCTTTGGAAATAGTTCATGGGGGCCGGAGAGCAAGGAGCGGTAAAGAGGGAGAGGACACCGTCCAGAGCGAGCATGTAGTTCGGGGGTGCAGGGCTTGCTGGTCACACGTGAGGCACCGGGCGCTGTGACTGGGTTCAGTGTACCAAAGCACTTCCTTCATGAGTGTGAGGACCTACGCGCAAACCTCTAGAACCCACAAGACAGCCAGATGCACAAGCATGAGACTGTAATCTGTGTTCTTAATGGGAGATGAAGACAGGAGAATCCTTGGAAACTCGCTGGCCAGTTAGCATGGCGAATGCGGTAGGAAGCCAACAGAGACCCCATCTCAAGGCAGACGGTGAAGACCGGCACTCTAGGTTATCCTCCGATCTCCACATGAGTACAGTGGTATGCATGGGCCTGCATTCACACACACAAACACACACACATCATACACACACACACCAGGTGCTTGTTAGTGTCTCAGCATTGTTCTGAGCTGATATCTGGAGGGGAAAGTATAGGGAACAGAAAGAGCAAAGCCCTGCCAGGTGGTGTTGACACACGCTTTTAATCCCAGCACTTAGGAGGCAGAGGCAGGCAGATCTCTGAGTTCGAGGCCAGCCTGGTCTACAGAGCAAGTTCTAGGACAGCCAGAACTGTTAGAAAGAGGAACCCTGTTTCAAAATTGGAAAAGAAAAAGAAAGGGAGGAAGGAAGGAAGGAAGGAAGGAAGAAAGAGAAAGAAAGAAAGAAAGAAAGAAAGAAAGAAAGAAAGAAAGAAAGAAAGAAAGAAAGAAAGAGAGAGAGAAAGGAAGAAAGAAAGAAAGAGAGAAAGAGAGAAAGAAAGGAAAAAGGAAGGAGAGAGAAGGAAAAGAAAGAGCAAAGCCCCTGAGGAGTTGGTGCTGGTTGGGGACTTGCCAACTGTCCTTGGCTGGAGTAGGCCGTGGAGTGAGTGTGCTTGGGCATGGCAGGAAGGAGCCCATCCCCAGGAGTTTGTTAGGAGCCTTGACTCCCAGGCTCATGGAGCTGGGCCCATGCTGCCAGAGGGTGGGCCAAGGGAAGCTGTGCTCCAGCTTTTAACAGGGACGCCAGGAGTTGGTGTGTGTGTGTAAACAGTCATGTTTATGGAATGATGGAGTGTTGTGACTGGCAAGGGAGGTTGACAGATCGAAGACCCTTGGCCTGGGGCTCTGCCTAGGGCAACCTCCCTGGCTGCTGATGCCTAGGGCAGCACCCCATCCTCAAGGCTGTATTCCTGCCCTAGAACCTAAGAGGAAGTGGACAGGAAACAGGAGGAAGCACCGGGTTAATCCCAGTGTGTCCCTGACGATTTGTTCCCAGCAGTGGGAGGATTTCCGGGCCTGAATGGCCGGAAACGTTGGGATGGGACACCTCACCCGGGAAGAGTGGGCAAGGGGAGGGCCTCCCTTCTCCACCCCACTGACAGCGACACTGGCCAGGGAGCATCCGAGGGCCCTGGAAGCCTGAGCCATTGCAGACTGCGCTTAAAAGACAGTTAGGGGCCAGGGAGGGCCTCTAGGAGGAAAGTCTAACGGACTTCAGAATGTGAGAACCGGAGCAGCTGTGGGACCCCTGGCCTCAGGACCTGGGGGTCATTCTTTTCCTTCCTTCCTTCCTTCGTTTTTTCTTTCAGCTCATCTTTTGTTTTGAATCTTAAGCTCCGTGTTGAGTCTAAGAGAATGATGGAGCGTGATGGCCGCTGGCAGGCGCTGCTTACTGTTTGTGTTCTCCATTAAGCTGTGGCCACACTGGGAATAGGGTTCACTGGTGAATGACAGTCCACACCCTCACGAGGGAGGGTCTTCGTTAATTTTCAGTTGAGAAATAAATTTGAAATGGCTGTTGCAGGTGGGGGTCTGTGAGACTAGAGGGACGGAGGCCGGTGGAGGCAGCGAGTGAGGACCAGGGGCTGTTGTAGGTAGGGTGTCCCAGGAAGGCTTCTCAGAGGAGGTGCCTTTAAACTGAGCCCTGAAGAAAGAGGGGGAGGAAAAAGCCCTGTGAAAATCTGGGAAAAGAGTTCCAAGCAGTTTCTCCCACGTAAGCGCAAAGGCCCCGTGGCAGGAACCAGCTGGCAAGGCCAATGCAGCTGGTGCAGAATGAGGGGCAGGATGGTTGAGGGAGGCATTGTAGAGTGTTGGTGAGGTGGGCTGTCGGGCACCACCAGCACACAGAGCCATAGAGGTTGGGGCCTCTGGACCAGTCATGCCCATTTTCTGTCATGGTAACAGCACCATTCTGGAGGAGTTCTGATTTGGGTGATAAGCTGTACTGCCGTGGTGGTGGTGGGGGTGTGTGTGTTCTTCTTTGGCAGATGCGGCTGAGGACACGGCTCAGCTGTAGCGTGCTTGCCTAGATGTGCAAGGCCAGGCCTCTCCCCCCAGCGCTGGAAAAGGGAAAGCATCTTAGACAGTCTGCAGTTGTGCACTTACAATTTCAGCTACTCCAGAGTCTGAGGCAGGGGGATTGCTTGAGTCTAGTCAGACCAGACTGAGCAGCAGAGTGAGCCTTGGTGGGTGAGGGGAACTGCTGGAGATCGGGGCACCTGCTCTGGCTGATGCTTAGTTGCTGTCCAGTGTCAGAACTGGAGCTGACAGTATGGGTGAGTGGACACGGACCAGCAAGAAAGCCCACGGAGGAGACGGGGTGGGGTGGGGTGGGGGCTGGCTGCAGGGGGAGACTTGGCCATTCTCGGCTCTGAAGGGAGGATTTCCTACTGGGCAGGATGTGGCCTGTGGCATGGATCAAGGCTTGTTGAATGGGGGATAGCCTGCTGGTAGGCCAAGGGTAGAAAGCGGACCTGAGGGCCAGGCGGTGGTGGCGCACACTAATCCCAGCAGTCGGGAGGCAGAGGCAGGCAGATCTCTGTGAGTTCCAGACCAGCCTGATCTACAGAGTGAGTTCCAGGAAAGGTGCAAAGTTTACACAGAGAAACCCTGTCTCGGAAAAACAACAAACAAAACAGAAAGTGGACGTGAGGCTTTGGCTGTCACAGCAGGAAGGAGGGAGCTGGTACCCGGAGAAGGGAAGAGAGTGGAGGAGCGGCATCTGCTGGTAGGCGGCAAACTGGAGATGCCTCAGATGTGGGGAGACTGAAGGGAATAGGAGGGCTTTGGTGAGAAATGGGGCTGCATTAGACAAAGGTTTAGGCCTGAGGGTGGTGATGTGCCTCTAGAATCCCAGGATTCAGGTGGAGGCAGGTGGATCAGAAGTTCAAAGTCAGTTTCACCTGCCTAGTACATTTGAGTCCAGTCTGGGCTACGTGAGACCCCGTCTCCAAACAAATGTAAAACATAAAAGCACGCGCACACACACACACACACACACACACACACATGGCCCTGGCTAGGGGAACTGACTCACAAAAGGGAAGGCTGTTTGTTCAACATCCTGGAAAAATAGCCACCACCGTCCTCTGGCCTCTGTAGGCTTCATCCGTGCTGCCCTGAAGGCAGAGAGAACAGGTGTGTACAGGCTGTAACCAGCAGTGACTAGCTAATACACTGGCAACGTGGACCAAAGGGCCAGAGGAGAGGGGCTGAGCCTCAGTCAGGAGTAGGGATCGGGTTGGGGAGGCAGGGAGAGGAAGCATCATGAGCTGGGCGAACACAGCCTCAGTCCTCCAGACTACTCCTTTAGGCAGTGGCTATCTTTGTTTCTGATCTATGGAGAGGAAACGTAGGATCAGAGAGGTAAAGGAACCTCCTCAGGGTTGCACAGCTGGCAGGGGTGGAGCAGCCACACAGGTCCATCCTCCTGCCCTAGGGATGGATAACATTCTGGACTCCCAAGGCCAGGTCCAGCCCCAGGCCGGCAGACAGGCAAACACACCGGAGATCTGAGAAGCACTGAGAATATTCACTTCTTTCCCTTCTTCCAGGGCTGCTGGAGAACCGGAGGCTGCCGGGGACTATGTGAAGGTAGGAGAGGCAAGCTGGGGGTGGCCCTGGTGTGACAGAGTGTTTGGTGCCTGTTATGAACCAAACTTCCTCCTGGAAGGAGGTCAGAGGGTGGGCAGCCTCCGGGGACGGGGTCATTCTGGACAGCTATTTCCCATGCTTCCCGTCACTCCGCCGGCCCCAAACCCACCAGCTGGACAGTATCCCAAGGGTGTCCCCATGCAGTGGCCACCACAGTGAGATCCCACCCAGCCTCGGGGCATCTGCTGAGTCCTGGTGCTGGGAGGGGGCAGCCGGAGAGGTGACTCAGCTCTTCAGCATCACAGACATCGAGAGCCTAATTTGGTGGCTGGGACTATGGCTCAGTTGATAGAGTGCATGCCCAGTCTGCAGAAGGCCTTGGGGGTCAATCCCCAGCACCACATACATTGAGTGGTCCTGCATGCCTATAATCCCAGCACTCAAGGGGCAGAAGGTTAAATTCAAGGTCATCCTTAGCTACATAATGAGTTTTGAGGCCAGCCTGGGTAAAACAAACAAGCAAAATGCCTTCTTGTTCTAGGCACTGGGAGTGTTTAGAGTGTAGTTTTTTTTTTTTTGTGTGTGTGTGTGTGTGAGAAGTAGACCTCATGGTTCTTCCTGTCCACTGTGGGTCTCTCTGTGACCTGGGGGCTGGCTGATTAGGTTTCGCTGGCAGGCCCACGAGCCCCCAGGATCTTTCTGTGTCCACTCCCAATGCTGAGGTTACAAACCAGCGCCATCACACCTGTTTTTTGTTGTTGTTTTGTTTTTGTTGTTGCTGGAGATTGAACTCATTGTACCTGCTTGTGTGCCCAGCACTTTACAGAGTGAGCCAGCCACAGGATA